AAATGTATTTATTGTAACATTTTTGTTTCCTCCTCTTCTGCCTCCCTCCATCTTTTCTCTGCTTCCTCTCCTCCTCCCTCTGTCAGATGACGGACAGGTCATATTTGTGTACGGAGCTGATTATGGACGTCGAGACAGGACAACGTGTTCGTACCGTCGTCCTCAATCTCAGCTCCAAAATGTCCTCTGCTCAAGTCCCAGGAGGGAAGTGTTCGAAAGGTGCAGTCCACTGACGTAGACTCCAGGTGGAGCTGTTGGATGAACACCTCAGCTGTAGAACTTGAGAGATGTTGACGTCTCTGTGTCCGCAGGTGTAACGGGAGGAGCAGCTGCAGGATCAGTGCAGCAAACTCAGAGTTTGGAGACCCGTGTCCTGCCACCTACAAATACCTGGAGGTGTCCTACGTGTGTCAATGTAAGTCACTAACTTTGGAATTCTGATTCAAATACAAACTTATGAAGTACTTTTGTTGGACCTCATGATGTTTCTGAGGTAGAATAAAACATTTACAAGTAATAAATAAGTAATATTACTGACATGTTTCCATGTGTGTGTGTGTTGTCTGTTCTTTTTCAGATCCTGTGTTAACTCACTGACGTCACAGTAGCATCACATTCTACTGTCTTACCTTCAATCACTGTGTATTTGGTTTTTATTTAATTCTACTTTCATCAATTGAGTTCATTTCCTTTTTTATTTTTGGCACGTCTGCACGCTTCATGTCTCCTCCTTTTGTATTTTAAACATTCATATAAATAAAGTGTCCTGTCGGGCCTCGGCTTGTCCTGATCTTCTTAAACCAACAACATTAGTTATGTAATAATTTGACATTCTCTCACATACGACCGCACCACGTCCTGATTCCAGTTTGAACAGAAACAGTCTTGAAGCTGCAGAAACAAACCACCGGTGCACATGAAGCTGAATTAAACTTCAACTGAAAGAATACGTTGACAGAAATCAGATAAAGACACCAACACAAGGGGAACGAACAAATCAAAAGAAAATATTAGAAGCTGAAATGACAGTAGAGCTCCAACCTCCAACAAGCTCCAATAAAGCTGCACCAAATAAACGATAAATATCATTCCTCCAAATGTTTATCGAGATTATTCTCAACATCTCACAATGTGAAAGAGATTTAGATTCCTGGGTTTGTTCATCACATAAAAATCTACGACAGATACAAATGATAAAGTAAAACAAAGTACATTTCTGTGTGCTGACTCCAGGTCAGCGCTGACGAGGAACCTGAAACTGATGATTACTCAACTCCCCTCACTGTCACTCAGTGAATCTACACTCATCCAGACGTGTCACAGGTCAGAGGTCGACTACAGGACATTCTGAGTGAGACAGAGACAAAGACTTCACAGATTGTGTCTCAAGTGGATGTTTTACTGCCACAACCAGAGCCAAGACCAGAGCCGACTTCTTCAAATATCCACAGGAAATCACACTGGATCCAAACACAGCACACACACAACTGTTATTATCTGAGGGAAGCAGAAAAGTGACATTAGTGAGAGAAGATCAGTTTCATTCTGATCATCCAGACAGATTCACTGCTGTGTGTCAGGTCCTGAGGAGAGAGAGTCTGACTGGACGTTGTTACGTCGTCAGTTCTGTGCAGATTGAACGAGGACGTGTGAAAAAATCAGGATCTGTGGACGTCTGTGGTTCGAATCGATGAATCTCTCACAAAGACTTAAAGAGATTCAAATTAAAAAACTAAAAGTGACACATGATGAGTGACGTGTTGAAACGTGACACAGCAGCAGAGGAAACTGACTTCACACAATCACTCGTCAGTTAAACAATATTTCTCTGGAATAATCTGAAATTCTCCTGAATGAGGTGATAAAGGAAGAGGCGGGGACAGAGGAGGCGGCAGTCACGTCCTTTTACTGTTCGATTCCAACAAATGAAACGACACAAATAAAAATGAACAGAGCAAAAAAATAAAGGACAAACTTCCTTCCCTCTCCCTCGTTACACAAGAAAAAGATTAGAATCAAAGAAGCAGCTGCACTTTTAACATCAGACACAGAAATGAGCTTTAAACACCGAGCGCCACGGTTCCTCAGGTTGGCACATTCACAGTCACACAAACAAGCAGAACAAATAAAGATGGAAACAACTTTGCTCAAATCACGTCCGCAGAGGAAAAACGTTTCAGCCACGAATCTCAGTGAACACTTTCCGTCAACATGTTATTTTCTGAGCCACGAGAGGCTGGAGACACGTCTCCTGAAACTACAATTAAAAAACAGAAGAAAACGTACGAGCGTGCGGACACAGACAGAAAAACTCCTCAATCAAACATCCAACGCAAACCTACATAAAACATTTCAAATGAAGCTAATCCTCAGTGTAAAGAACAGGACGATGGCTCGGAGCGAGGGGAGGAGTCTTCGACCACATCTGTCATACGAACGCTGGATCTTTGCTTTGACTGAGCGGTGACACGTTAACAAACTGCTGCGTATTATTGGCTAAAACAAGGATAAAACAAGACTCCGCCTCCTGCACGGTCCGGCTGCAGGACGGTCTTACCCACAAACAACCTCTAGCTTCTCAAGCTCACTGGTTTTTATTTCTAACAGAAGCATCTGTCTCCTTCTGGACTCATTTCATCCAACCTGTTCAATCCAGATGTTCAAGTCAGTTGTGATGTGAAATATCTGATTTTAAATGCGTGCTGAGCGCCGCTGCTCCTCACCAGGAGCTAGAGGTTGTTATCAAGCCAAGACCGAGTCCAAAGAATCCTCCTCCTCCTCCTCCTGTCCTCTTCTTCTTCCCTGGTTGACTTTGTGGCCGTCGGTGTGCAGCCACAGTCTGAGCGAGGATCCCTGAGGTCGTCACACGGCGGCGCCGCATCTGTTCTGGAAGAGCTGCTCGACGACGGACGAGTCGGCCAGCGTGGAGATGTCCCCCAGGTCCCGTTCGCCGCAGGCGATTTTGCGGAGCACCCGTCGCATGATCTTCCCTGTGGAGACAGAAGAGGGGAACATGAAGAGACGACAAAAACACGAAGAAAGGAAGAGTGAAGGAGAAGAGAATAAAAAGAAGCACTTTGAAGAAACTTCTTTATTTGACAGTTTTCTCTTCTAATTCTAAAGATGAGGTCAGACCCACAGCTGCTGCGTCTGATGAGTCTGATCTTTAATGAGGAGCATGTTTTCTGACTTCCTGTGAGACTTCATACAACTGAACTTTTCCTTTCTCCACACGTACGGCTGCAGTGAAGCAGCATCTCCACTCTCTGAACACCGACCTGATCGGGTCTTGGGGAGTCCAGGGGCGTTCTGGATGAAGTCCGGTGTGGCGATGGCGCCGATCTTCTCCCTCACTGTGAAAACACCAAACACAAACCACATGAGACTCCAACTTTCACAGGGCGTCGCTGTTTCGTTACAAATAATCTGTGAAGACGCTCGTCCTCCCTGACGGGACGACAGCTCTCAGGCAGCGCAGGAGACAAACTCCTCCGTGTTGACCCACCTTGTTTTTTGAGTTCTGCCTCCAGCGTGCGGTTGAACGTCAGCCCGTCATTGAGGGTTACGAAGCAGTAGAGGCTCTCTCCTTTCACAGGATGAGGTCTGCCCACCACAGCGGCCTCAGCAACGGCCTCATGCTCCACCAGAGCCGACTCCACCTCCGCTGTGCTCAACAAGTGGCCTGAAGAAAGAGACGGAATCAAAGTGTTGGAATATCCGACCAGAGGAGGTGTTCTGGGTCTGGATCCAACTGAACCATGGTTCTGATCGTCTGCAGAGTGAAAACACTTGTTTGGACGTTTGGCCCGGTCACAGGAAGTCGACAGGTGACGACGACAGGACGTATGTGACGACGACAGGACGTATGTGACGACGACAGGACGTATGTGACGAAGACAGGACGTATGTGACGAAGACAGGACGTATGTGACGAAGACAGGACGTATGTGACGAAGACAGGACGTATGTGACGAAGACAAGTCTTAAACTAACAGAGCAAATGAAACGATGAACAAACACATTGTTCAGACTCAGATCAGAAACGTTCTCGATCACTTTTTACAACTTTGAACCATCAAACCTTTGTTTAGTCAAAGACGATCAGGGATGAATTCTCTTTTGATCGACTCATTGATTCATCGCTGCCACTCGAGATGAAATCCTTTTATAAAACAAACGTTTGTCTTGTTCTCTTCATCGAGGCGACAGGAGTCTCACCTGACACGTTCAGCATGTCGTCGATCCGCCCTGTGATCCAGTAGTAACCGTCCTTGTCTCTACGGCAACCTGTAGGAAGACAGCGTCTTTACAAGACTGCAATGACTCCTAAGAGCCACTAGGGCGAGTGAAAGAACGAACAGTGAGTAAGATGAGTACGAGGTTTCATTCTTTCTTTGTGTATGAACGGCATCATTGTCGTCTCTACAGACACGACTGTGTGAGTATGATCGTCTTTATCGTCTCTGTTTCCTGAATCTCTGAATCTCGTCTACACACTAACAGGGAAGTCAGACGTGGAATCGTTCATCGGACTCGGAGATGTTCTCTGACTTGTTTTGATTTCTCACCGTCTCCGGTGACGTAGTATCCCGGGAACTTCTTGAAGTAAATGGTTTCAAACCTCTGATGGTTTCCAAACACTGTTCTCATCACACCGGGCCACGGCCGTTTGAACACCTGTTAGAAACACGGAGCAGTCAACACGTGACACGACACTGACGTGTTCGTGGGAGAACATACTAGTTCAATAACAGTCCTGACCAGGTATCCTTCACTCGGCCCCTCCAGCTCCTCTCCCGACTCATTCAAGATGGCAGGCACCACTCCGAAGAACGGGAACGTCTGGAGGACACAAACAAATTGTTTTTATGAAAACTGAACCAAAAAACACAGAAACACGTCTCTCGCTGGTGACGTCATGTGAAGTCAGAGAAGGGACGGAGGCGAGGTCCGGCCCGACGTCTCAGCTGTCAGTCAGGACCCCAGGTCTGTTTGCAGCATGTACTCACAGCAGATCCAGGCTTCATGGGTGTTGCTGCAGGAAGAGGAGTCAACACGTGTCCACCCTGAAAGACAGACAGGAAATGATTTATACCCAGTGTCAATCAACTTTCCTTCCTACAGGGGGCGCCACACCTCACAGTCTACCCTGCTCTCAGTGAGGAAGTAAATGTTTTTGATATCAGTGGTTTCACAGTGAACAATAACTCAGACTCACAGTTTCCGTCTGCCAGAAGGTGTCCACTACAGGACACCTCCTCTCCCCCACCACGTTGTAGTACCACTGCCAGGCCTCAGGGTTGATGGGCTCTCCCACTGTCCCCAGAACCTTCAGGGACTCTCGCTTAAACCTGGGGAGAGGGAGGGAGGGAGGGAGGGAGAGACAGAGATATTCGGAGAGAGAAGGAAGTAAATATTTAAAATAAATATTAAATCTATGTGAATCAATGAATCAGTTTCAAACCTTTTATCTGAATTCCTCCTGTGGAAATGTGAATATTTGTCTTGTTGTAAATGCTGATGTGA